AGTGGAGCTAGATTCTTATCCTCTCACAGCATTGTTAATAGCAGTGATTGTTAGATAGTTGTATTGTTAGTATCTATGATTCTCGCACCTTATGTCTGGTTGCAACTAAGTAACACATTTATCTGAGTGCACTGTAATTTGTTTTCTAATATCAGCTGCAATATAAGTGTAGCGAGAGGTGGTCTTATTACCCAGGTTTTGGTTGTTCGACAGAATTGTTAGATTAGTCACTAGTTTGTGTGTTTATTCCGCTGGTGAGGACACAATAGATCAACAGCCTGTCGTCGCAACAAAACCTCACCCACACACTCTCTGTTTTTGTAGATATTAATATGTATTATGTACATTACATCTCACACACACTACCATCACACACACAAGTCTCTTCACTCATCATCATCTTATCTCTACTATCTATCCTGCTTACGGTATATCTATGACTATACCTCTCTATATATACTCTACTTACTACATTCATATCTACTACTTATACTATATCTCTCTATCTTTCTCCATATATATCCTCCTATATGTAATATATATAGTATCTAACTATCTCACATATACATAACATATATATCTCTATATATATCTATATATACTATATATATTATACTACTATATATATATATCTATCCGTATATACATAATTCATATATATGTATACTATATATATATCTATATTTATATATATCATAGTAATCATATATTATATATATATTTATATATATAGTTATACTATATATGCTATAAATATTACTATATATATATACATATACTATATATATATATATATATATATATATCATAAGTATATTATATATATACTATACTATATATATATAATCTATATATATATCTGGTTACCCAGATTCTCCGCTGGCAGCCATACTGAAATAAGACACTGCTTTCACAAACAAACGAGGCATCAGGTAATATAATACTCATACCTGATTAAATCGTCTGTTTCATGTAATCAAGATCAGACGTTAATTAGAGATGCTTAGTTCACATCAAGGAGATATTTGTTCATCGGTGAAGCTTTAGTTCTAAGATAAGTCTGATCTAACATTACAAAGACCTTAATTACTGTCGGATATTTGATATGAATTACTTATTGGATTATCGCTTCGAATTCATGTCAACATAGATGGATATGTTTCATGTCTTTTGCAACACGATCTTTATAGCGAAATATGTTTAGAAAAAAAATAATGAGGAAAATAACACGTCAACATCAAGATCGTGTTTGCGTATTAGCATGAAAAATGGCTCCTTATTTCTCCAACATTTTGCAACACGAGCAATATGCACCGGAGGACACGATTTTGCACGTTTCGGATATATATGAAGTGGATTTTTAAGTTTTCGTTTCCTTTATGAAATTACGTAACTTAGAGAGGAAAATTAGTGGATAGCTTTATTGCTGATGATAAATTTTGTAAAATGCAAATAAAGTGGAAACTTCCAAACTCACTCAGAAATAGTTCGTGGAAACAACTGTATTCAGATGGTAATATAATGCTTGGATATTTTGCAACTTCATCAACAGTATATATAAGTTGTAGTGATTAAAGGCTTAACAAAAAAAACAATGAAGAACAAAACTATGTGTTGTCTGAGATGCACATTGCAAAGTCTATGATTAGAGAGAGAAGATGAGAGAAGAGAGAGAGAATATATATATATATATATATATATATATATATATATATATATATATATATACCATATATATACATATGTATATATTATTATATATATAATATATATATCTATATATACATATACATATATATATATACATATAAAGAGAGAGAGAGAGAAATAGACATATGTATATATGAGAATATGAGTGTTTTATACATGTATTTGTAGTATGAATACGAGTATATACAAATGTAAAATTTACGAATATCTATATCTATATCTATCTATCTATCTATCTATCTCTCTATATATATATATATATAATATATATATATATATATATATATATATCTATATAATATATATATTATATATATAATATATATGTATATGTTATGTCACACACATACACATATATATATATATATATATATAGTATATATATATATATATAATTAAATATATATATATATACTATTATATATATATACATATATTTATATTTATATTTATAGATATATACTATATAATATATATATATATATATATATATATAATATATATATATATTTATATATATATATATATATATATATATATATATATATATATACTGGCAGACAGACAGATAGACGAAAGGAGGGGGAGGTAGAGACAGACAGACAAATGACAGACAGATAGAGAGAAATAGACAGGCAATGATAGAGATAGGAAATAGTGTAACAGAAATAGAGACAGTCAGAGAGGCAGAGAGAACGAGGCATAAAAGGGAAACGAACCGACAAAAGGGAAGAGGAAAAATAAACATCGACAAAAAAATAGTTGATCGAGACCCCAAAACAAAACGAGTCCTACCCCCCCCCCCTCCTCACACTCCCCCCCTCCCCCCGTCGATCCTTAACTCCCGATCGAGTCATAAGTCCGCTCCTATGACCCCGCCAAATGACCCAGTCGTGGATGGGTGACCCCTATGACCTTTTATCGCCATAATTCTCCTTTATACCCTCGCTAACTGTCCCATCCGCCGATTGGGAGAGAGGAGGCGAGAGATAGGTCGTCGGTCAGCGGTGACTCAAGCCGGTGTTCCCGTTGTTCGTTCCGCGAGGCAGGGATCGTGGAAGCGTTTGTGATGGCGTGAAATACATGCAGCGTATACCCGCACGCGTAGACACATATCTACGCACACAAACACATTAACACATACAAAGACACACGCAAACAAACAAAATACACACATGCACACATACACACAAACCAAACACACACAACACACGCACAAACAAACACACACACAGACACACACAAACAAACACACACACACAACAAACAAACAAACAAACAAACCACAAACAAACAAACAAACATACACACAACAAACACAACACAACACACACAACACACACACAACACTCTCCACCATCAACCTCGACTCACTAAACCTTAAGGAACAAGAGACTCCAAATACCATACACTCGAGGGAATCAGCCGAGTGCCACAGACGGCTTGGCACACGAGTGGCACTGAGTACCCGTGGCACCTTGGGAATGGGTGCTCGAGAATCAGCCCAAGACATTTTGGAGTGCGTGGAGGTCCTTGGTCGGCCATTGTGTATATGTGTGTGTGGTTGTGTTTATGTGTGTGTGTGTAATGTGTGTGATTGTGTTGGTGTGTGTGTGTGTGTATTGTTTGTGTTTGTGTGTGTGTTTGTGTGTGTGTGTGCGTGTGATATCCTATGTAAAATATACGTATATTCTAAATGTGTAATTTTGTATGTATATATGTTTCTGTGATATTCTATGTATTCATGTATATTCCTATGTATACTATATTCATTCTATGTCTTGTATATATTCTCTATATGTATATTCTCTCTTTCCTCTCTCTCTCTCTCTGTCTCTCTCTCTCTCTCTCTCTCTCTCTCTCTCTCTCTCTCTCTCTCTCTCTCCTCTCTCTCATCTCTCTCTCTTCTCTCTCCCTCTCTACATCATTCAGAAAAAGATGGCCTTATGACCTGGCCTTCCATATAATTGCTAATGTCATGGCCTGATCTTCCGAGTACACACACACACAGATAGACAGATAGAGAGGAAGAGAGAGAGAGAGAGGAAGAGAGGAGAGAGAGAGAGAGAGAGAGGAGAGAGAGAGAGAGAGAGAGAGAGAGAGAGAGAGCAGAGAGAGAGAGAGAGAGAGAGAGAGAGAGAGAGAGGAGAGACGAAGAGAGAGAGAGAGAGAGAAAGAAAGAGAAAGAAAGAGAGAGAGAGAGAGACGAGAGAGAAGACGAGAAACAAAAGAGAAAGAGAATCAGTGAGTGTTGCAATAATAGCAATAATTGACGTTCTGATATTTTTTTTCATACTACTACTAATAATAGAAAATAATATCAATATTATTATTATTGTTACTACTTTTTTTATTTATGTGTTCTACTTGCTCGTAAAGTCTGAAGTGGAAGTGAACTGGGTACTGTAACAGAACCCTAATAGTTTAGGAATCGAAATGGATTATCTATTAATATTCAGTAATGGGATAGAAGTCACAGACCCTTTTAACACACTTTGTTATAATGTAACATATAAACCTGAGAGCTACACACTGACTACACTCAGTAGTCAATGTGTGGATTTTAATTATTCCTATCTGAAACCTGGAAAAAACAATTAAAATTCTAACAAAATACCAATATCATTTATAAAAAAAAAAAATCAGTACTGATTTCATTGTCTTGTGATTGCGGCCTGCCATATTAATCATCATTTTTATTAGTATTATACCCAAGCATTTTCTTTTTTTTGTTCTCTCATGCAATGAATTTTCTTTCTCTCCATCTCTCTCTCTCTGCGGAGTTCTTAAACCTCAATTATCAACCAATTGATTACATCATAATGCACCCGGTAATGTTAATTGTATGTAATTTGATCCCATCATCATTTTACCTGTTCACAATGCGCCTACTTTCTCTTTACGGTTGTATAATTCCCTCCCGCTCGATCCGTCCCTTCCTTACACAATTTCACTTTTACATATACTTCATCAGATCTCAGATCTCCTCACTATCACATGTTCCTGACTTTTTAAAAGAAATATATGTTCATTCCTAATAGAGAGACCACATCTTCTGGCCTCTCGGTTGTTCTTCACACATCTTTCTGATTTTCTCATTTGCTCTTTTTCTTTCTCTCTCTTCTGCTTTTTTCTTCTTCTTCCTCTCTCCTTCCTTCTCATCTCTTCTGTTCATCTCTCTCTCTACTCTTCTTTGCTCTCCATACTTCCCTTCGATCGTCATCTCTCTCTCTCTCTCCTCTCTCCTCTTCTTACCATCTTTTCCTCATTTCTGATCTCTCCGAGTCATT